CTGGCTTTAGCACAGACCTCAGATGTCTTAAGCAACTGAGAGGAGGTGAGAAGGCCTGTGGGGGCCCCCAAAGAGAGAATGAGTCAGTCAGAGCCAGACCTGAAACCTCAGACACATCAGCACTTCTTGGAAAGGCGAGAACGGACGCATTTAGACAGAACTGTGCATGCAGAATGCGGGGTTAGCACAGGCTGGCCAGGAAGTGGAGTCTTCCGTCCTCTGTGAGTCCCTCCACCCGGCTCTCTCTTCCTCAGACCCCTATCCCTCATCCCTCTCAAATGTCACCTCCTCAGAGAAGCCCTCCCTCATTCCACCTGCACCCAGCTTTGCTTTGCTTTCCTTCCTAGCGCAGTCTCCAGCGGATAGGATAGTGCAGGTCCATGTTCTCTCCTGTAAAACCCTGGGGGCCAGACATAGTTCAGAATTCAGAATGACTCAGGATGTGGAAAGGTCATCTTGTATAACATACCCTCTGATGTGACCACCAGCACCCCGTGATCAACTGCATTAATATCTCTGCAGCAAGACATCTGAGCATCACACCAGGAGGGAAAAGACTAAGAAAACCTCGTGTTTAGCTTCCAAATGAGTTACAAAAAACTTCCGGTTTTCAGAGATTGTGGATTTCAGAATAACATAAAGCTGCTGATCTGTACACAGGTATTGGTCGTACATTCTCTGTCTGCTCAACTAGAGTCTAAGCCCCAGGAGAGCAAGGACTTGGTCCAATGCTCTGGCACATATAGGTGCTCAATAAATTCCTGAGGAAGAAAGGCAGGAGGAAGCCAGGTGCTGGATATGCAGCAGGGACTCAATCCAAAATGCGGAGAGAAACAGCAATCACTGAGCCCCTTCCAAGAGCAAAATGTCTACAAAAACGATCTCACGAACGCTCTCCCTGCAAATACCCAAGACAAACAAAGGGAGGCTCAGAGAAGGCAAACAGCTTCCTCCGCATTACACACTGGGAAGCTGGGAAGTAGCCAGCTCTGATGCAAACCTGGGACCCCTCTTCAAGCTTAGGCCCTTCTCTCTGCCTCAGGCTCAGAAAAGCAGAGTAATCTGCTGGATGTCACAAAACAGTGGGGATGCACCAGGTCTGACATTGGATCCCCCAGCCTCTGTAGGACCTCAAGCTTCTGCTGGGCGCTCTGATCCACATTCACCAAGGGCAAGTCTGTACAACCTCCAGGCAAGCTCCTGGCCTCTCTTCTAGCCCAGCCATGGGAAGTCTGGCTAGACGTGGCCGGGCATATCTCCTCTGTGCCAGCCAGGAAGAATATTCAGAAATGTCCTTGATCATCCCAGCAAACTGGTACAAGCAGGAAAGAAAACAAGACAAGGCAAGAAGGATGGAGTGTGTCCCTCAGTATGGGCCTGAAGCAAGTCTACTGCATTCATCTCTTCGTCTCAGTTCTCATCTGCAAAATGGGTGAACTCCATCCCAACCAGTAAAACTCCAAGGAGGCAACAATAAAGTTTGTTTTTTTTTTTTTTTTTTTTTTTTTTTTGAGACAGAGTCTTGCTCTGTTGCCAGGCTGGAGTGCAGTGGCACAATCTCGGCTCACTGCAATCTCCGCCTCCTGGGTTCAAGCACTTCTCCTGTGTCAGCCTCCCGAGTACCTGGGACTACAGGTATGCACTGCCACGCCCAGCTAAGTTTTATATTTTTTAGTAGAGATGGGGTTTCACCATGTTGGCCAGGATGGTCTCGATCTCTTCACCTTGTGATCCACCCACCTCGGCCTCCCAAAGTGCTGGGATTACAGGCGTGAGCCACTGAGCCTGGCCAACAATAAAGATTTCTTCATTTTGGCCAGGCACCTTTGTTTGCATTTAGAAACCCAACCCTTTAGGAGGCTGAGGCAAGAGGATTGCTTGAGGTCAACAGTTCGAGACTAGCCTAGGCAACATAGCAAGATCCTGTCCCCCCAAAAATAAAAACAATTAGCCAGGCATGGTGGCACACAACTGCAGTCCCAGCTACTCAGGAGGCTGAGGTGGAAGGATTGCTTGAACCCAGGAATTGGAGGCTACAGTAAGCTATGATTGTGCCACTGCACTCCAGCCTGGGCAATAGAGAGAGAGACCATGGCGCTAAAAAAAAAGTATTCATTTAACAAATACATAGTTTTTACTCCATACCAGGTACTGTTTTGTATGCTTGACATATATTAACTTAGTCATCACTACGATGTCAGAGTCACTATAATCTCACAAATGCAGAAACTGAGGCTCTGGGAAGTCAGTTACCTAGTAAGTAGCAAAGCCAGCGTTTGCACTGGGTGATCTGGCTGGAGTCCAGACTGTCACTCCCAAGCTATACATTCTTGAGATAACAACAGACATATACATCGATTGTGGACCTACTGGCTGTTGGACACTGTGTGAAGTAGCTTATAAAACACGTTTTTAACCTTCATGAAAGCTCACTTTTATAAACGCAAGGAAGCGGGGTACCCAAGGAGCTTCCATCCTGGCCTCGCTCCCAGGTACCAGCGAGGGCAGTTGAGAGCGGGTGGTGTCTAATCCCAAATGCTCTCCTCCATCCTCCCAGATGGTGTGGAAGAGGTCAGGGAGAGGAGGGAGGTGCTTGCCTCAGAAAGAGAAAAGGTCCTCTCTTCTCATTTATTTATGTATTTATCTGTTTATTTTGAGATGGGGTCTCACTCTGTCACCCAGGCCGGAGTGCAGTGGCATGATCATAGTTCACTGCAGCCTTGACCTCCTGGGTTCAAGCCATCCTCCTACCTCACCCTCCCAAGTAGCTGGGGCCAGAGGCACCTGCCACCACGCCTGGCTACGTTTTTACATTTTTTTTTTTTTTTGGTAGGAACAGGCTCTCACTATGTTGCTCAGGCTGGTTTCAAACTCCTGGGCTCAAGCGATCCTCTCTTGCCTCGGCTTCCAAAAGTGCTGGGATTACAGGTGTGAGTCACTGCACTACGCCTCTTCACAATTCTTTGACACTTCATTTCAGCCCCTTTTTGAACTGGGAGCGTTAGAAGACTGTGAACATCTCAGGGCTTGGCAATCCCACCCCTGCCCTAGGCTGTTTGCAACCCTGGGATTGTGTTGTATTAAACGTTATCAGTCACTGAGTCACTTCCCAGCACTTGGAAATCCTTAGGTTATCTCAGACCTGCCAGTAACTGGATGTGTTGTAACTGGGGTGACTGACTGCAGGTTTTCCTTCCTGCTGCCTCCCCAGCACCACCCTCCAGATTCAGATCCAGAGGCCCAGGGTAGGGCCCAGGAATCTGCACTGTTGCTTTTACAAATCAGGCCAAGGTAAAATACACTGACCTAAGCTTTTTAGGACGGCATTCAAGGCCTTCCACAACGAAGCCCAGCCCACCTTTCCATCAGTCTCTGGCTTCTCCGCATTCCCTAGGTTCCGTATGTGGTGCCCTTTCACACCTCCCAGCCTCTGCCCACTCTGTGCCCACCTTTACTTCCCATCCTCCACCTGCGAGACTCCCCTCCTCCACTTAACAAGGCTGGCTCAAGGTCCCCTGTGAAGCGCTGATCCCCTCTGGCTTATGATCCTGCAGCCGCTGGCGCATCCACACCTCAAAGCCCCAACACTATCACGTCTGTCTTCCTGCAGAGGGGGTGCTCCTTGAGGCAAGCACCAGTGCTGTGCCCGGAACACCACCCAGGGCCGCGCAGGAGCTCAATGAGTGCTAGTGAGTGAATGAACAGCTTAGCGGGTCACCTCCCATTCATGGGCTGGGCTAGCTGAGCTCTGAGAAACTCCTGCAGGACCCTGAAATGCTCTGCCAAACACACACCTGAGCCTGTTTCCCCACTGGACTTAAGGATTTTAATAAAGGCACTGAGGTCCCAGCAAATGCCTTGGGCTCCTCGAAGGCCACCCAGGGCAGGGAGGTGCAGAGGGTCAAGGCTCCCAGAGGGCTGGGGAAGGACAGAGACCAAAACTGGAGCAGGATTAGCGCTGGCCTGGGGACAACCCCTGAACCCTAAGAAGCAGGCAAACTAGCGGTGCCCTACCTTGCTTAATTTAAGAAATCTAGATTTTGTTTTTTTAAAAAAATCAGGGCTCGGTGGCTCACACCTGTAATCCCAGCACTTTCGGAGGCCAAGGTGGAAGGATCATTGGAGGCCAGGAGGTCGAGATCAGCCTGGGAAACATAGTGAGACCCCATCTCTATAAAATAAATTTTTAAAAATAAAATAAAGATCAGATTCCTGGGTTTACAGAATCTGAATCTCAGGGCAAGGACCTGGGAATCTGCATTTTAAGCAAATCCCCCAGAGATTCCAGTTATTGGGGTGGCTCCACAAACGTGATTGAGAGATGGAGAGCAGCTGGCTCTGGCATGGGATTGCCTGGGCTCCAAACCTGCTGTCCCCCAGATTGCCAGGTGGGCGGCACCTTGGGGCAAGTTATTAACGCGGCCCGGATCTCGGTGACCTTATCTGTACAATGGCCAAGACGCACAGCACCGGCCACAGAGAGGTTAGTGGGAGGCTTCACTCGCCATCCTTTCAGTAAAACAAGTCCCAGTCAATCATCGCTATTATTGGATCCATCTGATACTCGGAGGCGGAGACCGAAAGTCCAAAGGGCCTTGTTTCCCGGGATTCATTGACCTAGTACCCAAACTTACAGTTCTCAGAACTTTCCCCAACCGTTCTCTCTCCGAAGTCCTCACTGACTTCCTGAGCGAGGGGCTGCGTGTTCCCGGATCAGCCAAACCCCAAGCCCCCCACCTCCGCAGGCCGTCCCGGCGGAGGTCTCGGGGCCGGCGCCGGCTTTGGGGCGCGCTGTGTGCCCTTAGGCGGCAAGGACGGAACCGGGCGCTGCTCCGCGCGCACCGAAAGTCGTGGGCTCCGGCCCCGCGCGGGGTCGGGGCTGTCCCCGGGTACCCGCTGCCCGGGTCCCCACCGGCGGCCGAACCCTTCCCGGACGCCCTCAGCCGGCGTCCCCGGGCGATCCCCCGCACCCCGATTCGCGTGCCGGTCCCGGGTCCTACCTGCGCGCCCCTGCTCCATTCGCCGTCCGGGAGCCCGAGCGGGAAGTGGGGGACCCCGGGTCGGCCCTGCCCTGGCCAGCGCCGCGCGGGGCTTTCCTAGGCGCCGGACCCGGCCCGCCCCAGCTTCCTGCGCCCCGCCCCGGCCCCCGGCAGATTTGCATGCACCGCCCCGCCCGGCGCGCCCGGCCCTGGTCCTGGACACCTCGCGCCACTGTCGCTGTCCCCGCCGCCGCCGGACAGTCCGAGCCGCTGTCCCTTCCTGGGGGTGACTCCGGCTTCCTCCCACGCCGCAGCCCGAGGTCGCGCCCAGCGAAGAACTCTGCCGTGGATCCCCTCGGTCTCGGAATAAAACGCCCACGCCCGACCAGGACTCTCCTGCCGGGCTCCGCCGCCTCCCCTGCGCCCGGGGCGGGGGGGGGGGGGGGGGGGCAGTTGCGTTTAGGGTGGGAGGGCTGAGCGACTGGAATCCTCCTCCCCTTCCTAACAGCCCAGCTTCCAAGTGCCAGTGTTTGCACATTCAATAAATATTTACCCAACGCCTACTCCAGCTACATTTGGATAGTAAAACAGCCTTTCAGTCAAGAACTAGTACAATCTGTCAGGCCCTGGGGGAAGGCACCGCAAATGTTAACTCATTTAATCCTGGCAACCACCCTATAAGAGAGTGATAGTATCACCGGTTTTACATATGAGGAAACTGAGGCACAGAGTCCTTAAGAAATCCAAAACGGGTTGGGCAACGTGGCTTATGCCTGTAATCCCAGCACTTTGGAAGGGCGAAGGGGGAGGATCACTTGAACCCCGGAGTTCGAGACCAGCCTGGGCAAACCTCTTAGCAAGACCCTGTATCTACAAAAATTAACATTTATAAAATTTTAAAAAAAAGAAAGAAACTTAAAATCACTCAGCAGGTAAGCAGGGGGAGCTGGGATCCGAACCCAGGCCCCCTAGACCATTAACCACTGGATGCCATAAGAGCCCAGATACAGTCAGATGATGGGGGGAAAACACTCAACAAAGTATTTCAGGTCAGAAGGCCCCAAGAAGAAAGGAAGGACTTCTTAGGCCAGTGGGGCAGGTGGTCTGGAAGGTGCTGAGGAGGGGACATTTGAGCTCGGACTCTGAAGAGGCTATGGGGGAAGACTCATGTAGGGAGAGAGAAGAGCTAGTGCAAAGGCCCTGGGGTGGGAACCAGCTCAGCCTGCAGGAGAAATTGCCTGAAGTCCAGCGTGGCTGTGGAGCCCTGAGTGAGGGGAGAGCGGAGGGAGAAGAGGTGGGAGATATCTGGACTCACCTTGGTCAGTGCTGGGAACCCAGAGAGTAATTTGACCCCTCCCGCCCTCAAGGAGCTCTCAGTGTGAGGATGGAAGCCAAGGACAGCCCAGTGGGATCAACGGTTATAGTGGAGGGTGAGGGTTGGCTTCCCAGGGCAGGGACCACTGCATGTCAATCATTCTTTTTTGTTTTTGCAGATGAAGTCTCATTCTGTCACCCAAGCTGGAGCCTGGAATGCAATAGTGTGATCCTGGTCCACTGCAAACTCAACCTCCTGAGTTCAAGTGATTCTCCTTAGTAGCTGGGATTACAAGTGTGCACCACCATGCCTGGCCAATTTTTGTGTTTTTAATAGAGATGAAGTTTCACCATGTTGGCCAGGCTGGTCTCAAACTCCTGACCTCAGGTGATCCGTCCGCGTCTGCCTCCTAAAGTGCTGGGATTACAGGCATGAGCCACCATGCCCGGCCCACATGTCAATCATTCTTTTCTGCACTCGCTCTGTCTTGGTCCTACTCTGTGTCTAACCCTGTGACAAGTCCTGATGACGCAGACTTGAAGACATGAAACAACCCCTGCCCTCTGAGACCTTACAACCAAGTGAGCAAGACAGCCACCAATCCCCATAAGTGATGGTATAGAGGATTCAGTTCCCCGGGGTCAAGGATGGCTTCCTGGAGGAGGTGACCTCTGACCAGTGCCTGGATCAAGTATTGATGCAGAAAAACAGGCAGGTGGAAGGGACAGCTTGGGCAAATTCGTGGAGGTGGTGTGGGAGTGTAGAAAAACTCCCATCCTTCAGCATCTGTTTGTGGATGCTTCCATATGCCAAGTTGTGGTCTGGGGGCTGAGGAGAGTGAGAAATAGTCCCTGCTTTCTAGCCCTGAAGATCTGGTTGGGGCACTGACAAGTGAACAGACCTAAGCAATTGATTGTAATAAACCCCATACTGGGGGCAGCCCAGGCCAGACACAGAGGACTGGGGAGAGAGGGCCACAGGAAGGGTTTCCTGGAAGCTTGGGTTTTAGGAAGAATAGGAATTCTCCGGATAAGGTGTGACTACCACTCCCGTCCACACTCATACTCCCTCACACTCATTACTCACACATCCGTGCACCCACACAGCTGGTATTTCATCCCATGCAGTTCAACCCAGCAAGCTGCCTTTGTCCTGTCTTTGTGTCTCTGAGTCTGTGCCCCATCTCATTGGGAGATGACAGCAAGAGTCTATCTTTGAAGTCCTTTGGGAATGTGTGGCTTGGGCTGTATCTCCTCCTGGCCTCCTAAACTGGGCTTGCCTGTAGACCACCTGCATTGGCATGCCAACTCTGCTACTTATTGACTAGGTGAGTTTGGGCAAAGTAGATAATCCTCCCCGTGCCTCAGTTTCCCCATCTGTAAAATGGAGGTAATAACAGACCCACCTCATAGGGCTATGAGATGGTGAAATGGCAAGGTACTTATCACAGCGCCCAGAACAATGCCTGGAGTGGATTAAGCGTTCAAAATGTCAATTGCGGTTCTTATCAGGACGAAGAGAAAAAAGCAAAGTTGAAGGCGATTGCTTTGGTCTGTTGCTCGGTGGTGAAATGAAGATGAATGTGGCATTGAGAAGACAGGCAAAGAAAGCACCAATGTGGTCAGGACCAAGACAGTCAGGAAATCTGGGGTAAGAGACTTCGGGAATTCTTGGTACTTTTCTCCCAACTTTCCTGTGAACCGGAAATTATGTCAAATTACAAAGTTAAAGAAAACAGGGCATTGTTCTCGGGTGCAAGAGCGATAATTAATGGGAAGTTTGTCTTCTTGCATACAGTCCCACTGTTCAAGTTCCTGCCCTAGATTCCCAGACTGTCTGTGACTGCTCTGTCAGTCCCGGGAGCGGGTCCAGAGGCACCAAGATAAAACTCTGTTCCCCCATCTACGGGTGCCCAAGTCTTGCCTCAGTATAAGCTCAGTCCTCATTACATCCTAACACGCTTACTTGTTTTCAAGGCTTTCGGTGTTTAAAATTAATAGACTTTATTTTTTAGAACTTTGTTGATTTCTAGAAAAATCGAGCAGATAGTACAGAGAGTTCCCAAACAGTCTCCTCCCGCTTGCACAATTTCCCCTTTTATCAACATCTTGCATTAGTGTGTAGTGCCTTCATTATAATACTGATACATTAGTATAAACTGAAGTCCATAGTATACATTGTTTCACTGTTTCTCAGGGTGTTGTTTTGGGTTGGTTGGTTTGTTTGGAAACAAGGTCTCACTCTGTTGCCCAGGCTGGAGTACAGTGGCGGGGTCATAGCCTACTGCAGCCTGGAACTCCTGGGCTCCCGAGTAGCTGGGGCTACAAGCACATGCCACCATACCAGGCTAATTTTTTTTTTTCTTTATTGTAGAGACAAAGTCTTGCTACGTTGCCCAAGCTGGTCTCAAACTCCTAAGCTCAAGCTCTCCTCCCATCTCAGCCTCCTAAAGTGCTGGGATTACAGGTGTGAGCCACTGCTCCTAGCCTCTGTTGCACAGTGCTGAGTCTTTTTTTTTTTTTTTTTTTCTTTTTTGAGACAGAGCCTTGCTCTGTCTCCCAGAGCAAGTGGCATGATCTCAGCTCACTGAAACCTCCACCTCCCAGTTTCAAGTGATTCTTGCACCTCAGTCTTCCAAGTAGCTGGGACTACAGACACACGCCACCATGCCTGGCTAATTTTTGTTTTTTTAGTAGAGACGAGGTTTCCCGATATTGGTCAAACTGGTCTTGAACTCCTGACCTCAAGTGATCAGCCTGCTTCAGCCCCCCAAAGTGTTGGGATTACAGGCATGAGCCACTGTGCCCAGCCAAGTTCTGGGTCTTAACAATGTATAATGTCATGAATCTACACATGTAGCCACATAAAGAAGAGTTTCCCAGCCTGGGCAACATAGCAAGACCCAGTCTCTACCAAAAAACAAAAACAAAGAAAATGGGCCAGGCATAGTGGTGCACCTGTAGTCCCAGCTACCCAGAGGCTGAGGCAGGAGGATCCCTTGAGCCCAGGAGTTCGAGGCTGCAGTAAACTATGATCATGCCACTGCACTCCAGCCTGGGTAACAGAATAAAACCCTATCTCTAAAAAAAATTAAAAGAAGAATAAAGAAAAAAATAAAGGATAGTTTCACTTCCCTAAAAATCCCTAATTCCTACCCGTTCATCCTGGATCCTGGAAACCACTGATTTTTTTTTTTTTTTTTACTGTCTCCAAAATTTTGCCTTTTTCAGAATGTCATGTAATTGAAATCAGAAAGTGTGCAGTCCCTTAAAACTGACTTCCTTTACTTAGCAATATGCTTTTCTGGTTCCTGTATGTCTTTTTCAGGCTTGACACCTCATTTCTTTTTGTGGCTGAATAGTGGCCCTGTTGTATGGATGCACCACAGTTTATTCTACCTATTGAAAGACATCTTGGTTGCTTCCAGCTTTGGGGTAGACATAAGTTTGCAACACAATTGAGGAAATACCAAGGAACACAACATCTAGATCATCTGGTAAAAGTATGTTTAGTGGTGCGAGAAACTGCCAACTGGTCTTCCAAGGTGACTGTACCATTTTGCCTTACTATCAACAACAAGTGAGAGTTTCCGTTGTTCTGTATTCTTGTCAGCTTTTGATATTGTCAGTTTGAGGATTTTAGCCACTCTAGTAGGTGTGTAGTGGTATCTCATTGATGTTTGTTATTTCCTAGTGACATATGAGGCATATGTCAATATGTTTGCAAATTGGGAAATTTGCAATTTCCTAATGACATCTGATATTGAGCATATTTTCATAGGCTTTTTGCCATCTGTATATCCTGTTCATTGTCTGCTGATATTTTGTGCCCATTTTATAGTTGGGTTACTTGTTTTCTTATTGTCAAGTTTTAAAATTATTTGTGTATTTTGGATTCAGGTCCTTTATCAGCTATGTGTTTTGCAAAGATTTTCAAATTTAATACAGTTTTCAATTTTCATAAAGTCCATGCCACCAATTTTTTTTTCATTCTTGGATTATCCTTTTAGTGTTGTATCTAAAAACTCATTGCCAAACCCAGAGTCACTGAGATCCAAGATTTTATGCTACGATGTCTTCTAGAAGTTTTGTAGTTTTGTATTTTACATTTAGGTCTATGATTTATGTTGAGTTATTTTTTGTGAAAGGTGTAAGGTCTGTGTCTAAATTTATTACTATTATTATTTTGCACATAGACATTCAGTTGTTTTAGCACCATTTGTTGAAAAGACTATCCTTTTTCCACTGAATTGCCTTTGCTTTTTTGTCACAGACCAGTAGACTATATTCGTGTGGGTATATTTTGGGGGTCTGTATTCTGTTCCACTGATGTCTTTGTTCTTTCACCAGTACCATGCTGTCTTGATTACTGTACCTTTATTTTATAGTTTTAAAGTCAGGTAATGTCAGTCCTTCAACTTGGTTGTTGTTCTTCAGTATTGTATTGGCTATTGCAGGCTTTTTACCTTTCTGCTTGAATCTTAGAATCAGTTTGTCAATACTCACAAAATAATTTGCTGGGATTCTTATTGGGATTCTCGTGAATCCATAAGATCAAGTTGGGAAGAACTCTCCATGAACATGGACTATCTCTCCATTATTGAGATCTTTGGTTTCATTCATCAGAATTTTGTAGTTTTCCTTATAAAGATCCAGTATATGTTTATTTTATTTATACTTGTTTGTTTTTTCTTTTTTTGATGCTAACATAATGGCATTGTGTTTACAATTTTAAATGCCACTTTTTTGTTGCCAGTATGTAGGAAAGCAGTTGACCTCTGTAGGTTAACCTTGTATCCTGCAACCTTGCTACACACACTTATTAGTTCCAAGAGGGTTTTTTGTTAACTCTTTAGGATTTTCTACATAGACAGTAATGTCATCTGCAAACAAAGACAGTTTAGTTTCTTCCTTCCCAATCTGTGTAACTTTTCTTTCTTTCTTTGTCTTATTGCATTAGGTTGGACTTCCGGTATAATGTTGAATAGGAGTGGTGAGAGTGGGTCATTGACATAGGGCTGATAGAATAGAAGTGATTATTTTCCCAGCATTTCCAGATGGCAAACACATGGAAAGGCGCAGCTGATGGGATGTGGGCAATGAACTAACTACAGCAGGGCTTCTCTGCATCTAAAATAAGGAAATAAGCCAGGTGCAGTGGCTTACACCTGTAATCCCAGCACTTTGGGAGGCAGAGGTGGGAGGATAACTTGAGTTCAGGAGTTCAAGACCAGCCTGGGTAACATATCAAGACCCTGTCTCTACAAAAAAAATTTAAAAATTAGTTGGGCATGGTGGCACACACCTGTAGTTATAGCTACTCGGGAGGTTGAGGCAAGAGAATCACTTGAGTCTAGGACGTGGAGGCTGCAGTGAGCCATGATTGCACCACTGCACTCCAGCCTGGGTGACAGAGCAAGGCCTTGTCTCATCAAATAAATAAATAAAAATAAAGTAACATGAAATATTACCTTTTCTGAGCATAACTCATTATGATTCTTTTAAAAGAATAGAGATATATGTCTCAGGACCTGGAGAAGGGGGTATTGCAAAGCATGTTCCAAACTTCCCCTTCATTCTCCATCCAACACGGTACTTTCCAATTCACTTACTTCCAGCTCTCTACTCCTTCTCCCACGGAAAGATGGGAGACTAATTTCCCCCTCTACATGATGGCACAACCTCAGTGACTCTCTTCTAATGAATAGAATATGGTGGAAATGATGCCAGGACTTCCAAGGCTGGGTTAAGGAAAGGAGTTGCAGCTTCCATCTGAATCTCTCTCTCTTTCCTCACATCTTGAGATCCCTGAGTTAATATGTGATCAATCCAAAGTACCCTGAAGCCACCATGCTGGAGAGAAGAGATAGAGAGAAGCCCATGGACTCTCATCTGTTTGGGACTTCCCATCCCAGGTCCAGTGATGTGAGCAAGTGAGCCTTCAGATGACTCCAACTCCCCGTTCTGGAGTCCTCCCAGCTGACATTGAGTCATCCCAGATGAGCCAATTGAAATCTGGCCAAATTGCAAAATCATGAGCAAAGTAAATGTTGCTGTTGTTTTAATCTGAGTAACCAAGTAATTTCAAACTAAGAGTTTAAACTTGGTAACTTGAAACCAAGTAGAGCAGGGATGAACCCACTGAACCTTGTCCCCACTGAACCCTGCTGGATTGCAGATTCATGTGCAAAATAAATGCCACTACGTTTTGGGATAGTTTATTATGCAGCCATAGTATCTTGAACTTCTATGATACCCATAATACTCACCTTATACAGTCTTCTTTGTCAACAGAACCCAGATTTTGTTCGTGGTCAGCAATGTGTCCTACCTTAGGCAATAGATCAAGATTCATTGTGGCCAATCATGACAATTCTTTTTCTTTCCTTTTTTTTACCCCCTCTGATGGAGTCTCGCTCTGTCACCCAGGCTGGAGTCCAATTGCATGATCTCGGCTCACTGCAACCTCTGCCTCCCAGGTTCAAGCGATTCTCCTGCCTCAGCCTCCTGAGTAACTGGGATTACAGGTGCCCACCACCATGCCCAGCGAATTTTTGTATTTTCAGTAGAGGCAGGGGTTTCATCATGTTGGTCAGGCTGGTCTTGAACTGCTAACCTTGTGATCCGTGTGCTTCAGCCTCCCGAAGTGCTGGGATTATAGGTGTGAGCTGCCATGCCAGGCCTAATCGTGACAATTCTATTTCATCTTTCTCAGCCTCCTTGCAGCAGTGGTGGCTGAGTGGTCCAGTTCTATTGAGGAAACCCAAATGGAAACCTCTGTGTGTAGGGAAATGCTTCTGGGGAAAGGCTGGCTTTCCTGATTGAAGGGGTCTTCCGGCTGTGAAACATCTCGCCGCTGTGAGAGAAGGCCAAGACAGCTGCAGCATGGGAGCCCTGACATCTGTGAACAACTGAACCAACCCCAGCAAGAGCTAATATCTGGAATTCTTGGAAGGTGAAGAATTTTCTAGACACCAAAGAAAGCCCTGGTATATATATATATATTTTATTGTTTTGAGATGGAGTCTTGCTCTGTCACCCATGCTGGAGTACAGTGTCACAATCTCAGCTCACTGCAACTGCCACCTCCTGGGTTCAAGTGATTCTTCTGCCTCAGCCTCCCAAGTATCTGGAATTACAGGTGTCCACTACCACGCCTGGTTAATTTTTGTATTTTTAGTGGAGTGAGGGGTTTCACCATGTTGGCCAGGCTGGTCTCAAACTCCTGACCTCAAGTGATCCACCTGCCTTGGCCTCTCGAAGTGCTGGGATTACAAATGTGAGCCACTGTGCCCAGCCTCTGACATCTTTGAGCAGCTGAACCACACCAGCTGTGGTCAACCTCCAGACTCTGTGTAATTGGAGGAAATTTAACCTCTGTTTATGTTCCTATTATTGTTTTGTTATTTTGCAGTTTAACAGATTAGACCCAATGGGATTATTTTGAGAGTTGGAGCCATCTGGGAAGCATGGCTCAACTGGTTTGGGTGGGTGAAGACACAGGGGTTTCCCAACAACCTGAGTCAAGCTCTGTGGATATAGCTGGGAGATTGTGTCAAAGAGGCTGAGGGTTAATTCCCTGCTTCCACCCTTGGGGAAGAATGACATCCAGTCAGGCATGGGGAACATTCATCCTTGGGAAGAAGAATGACATCCTTCTTAACTCTGATTAGGCAGGTTCAACAAACAAGCTTTCTCTAAAATAAAATGATGTTGATGATGATGGTGGTGGTGATGATTATGATGGTGATAATGGTGATGGTGGTAATGATGATGGTAATAATGATGGTAGTGGTGGTGATGATGGAAGTGATGATGACACTGATAATGGTAATGGTGGTGGTGATGTGATGATGGTGATAATGGTGATGGTGGTGGTGGTGGTGATGATGCTGATAATGGTGATGGTGGTGGTCATGATGATAATGATGATAATGGTGATGGTGGTGTTGATAATGAGAGTAGTGATGGTGATGGTGATGATGATGGTGGTGGTGATAGTGATGTTGATGGTGATGGTGGTAGTGTTGATAATGATAGTAGCGATGGTGATGGTGATGGCGGCGGTGGTGGTGGTGATAGTGACGATGGTGATGTGATGGTGGTGTTGATAGTAGTGATGGTAATGGTGATTATCATGGTGCTGATAGTGATGATGGTGATGGTGATGGTGTTGATAACAGATGGTGATGGTGATGATTATGGTGGGGGTGATAGTGATGATGTTGATGGTGATGGTGGTGGTGTTGATAATGATAGTAGTGATGGTGATGATGCTGATGATGGTGGTGGTGATAGTGACGGTGGTGGTGGTGTTGATAATGATAGTACTGATGGTGATGATGATGGTGGGGGTGATAGTGATGATGGTGATGGTGATGGTGGTGGTGTTAATGACAGTAGTGATGGTGATGGTGGTGGTGGTGATGGTGGTGGTGTTGATAAGGAGAGTAGTGATGGTGATGGTGATGATGATGGTGGGGGTGATAGTGATGACGGTGATGGTGATGGTGGTGGTGTTGATAATGACAGTAGTGATGGTGATGATGATGGTAGGGGAGATAATGATGATGGTAATGGTGGTGGTGATGGTGATGGTGGTGGTGATGATGGTGGTGATAGTGATGATGGTGATGGTGATGGTGGTGGTGTTGATAATGACAGTAGTGATGGTGATGGTGATGGTGATGGTGATGGTGGGGGTGATAGTGATGATGGTGATGGTGATGGTGGTGGTGTTGATAATGACAGTAGTGATGGTGGGGGTGATAGTGACGATGGTGATGGTGATGGTGGTGGTGTTGATAATGACAGTAGTGTTGGAGATGATGATGGTAGGGGAGATAATGATGGTGATGGTGGTGGTGATGGTGATGGTGGTGGTGATGGTGATGGTGATGGTGTTGATAATGACAGTAGTGGTGGTGGTGATGGTGACGATGGTGGTGGTGATAGTGATGATGGTGGTGGTGATGGTGATGGTGGTGGTGTTGATAATGACAGTAGTGATGTGATGATGGTAACTGTGGTGGTGATGATGGTGATGATGGTGGTGATAATGGTAGTGGTGACAGTGATAATGATGATGATAATGATGCTGGTGGTGGTGATGTTGATGGTGGTGATGAGGATGATCATGGTGATAGTGGGGAGGAAGATGTGATGATGTTAAGAGCTAACACATATGACAGCACTTACTACGTACCAGGCCCTGTTGTAGGCTCTTGTAATATATTAATTAATCCTCACAAAACTCTAAGAAGTAGGTACCATTATTAGTTTCATTTCACAGACAAGAAAACAGGCGCAGATGGATCCCTCATGAACCCATAGCTGGTGAGTGTGAGTGAGCACTTTCTCAGGAGAAACAAACCTCTCCCAGGAACCTAACAGATAGGACATATGCACTTTGCTTGTTGCCATACACTTCATTTGCCATCTGGAAGGAGTGCCCAGAGAGCTTAGTGTTTCTGGCTGAAGAGCAATAGACTCTTGCTAGCTTACCTCACTGATTTCCAGGAGGAGGAGGAAGAAAAGCGGAAGAAAGGTCATGACTTACACTGGTCTCCAGTCCTGCCTTCCTCTTGGCCACTGCAGACTTAGATGCCAGAGTTCCCAAAGCTAAATCTCTCACTCCTTGTTGAGAATCCTTCTGCAGTTCCCCATTCCTGAAAAGTCAAAGCAGGATTTCTCAACCTCAGCACTACTGACATTTCAAGCCAGATAATTCTTTGTGATGGAGACTTTCCGTGCATTGTAGGATGTTTAGCAGAGTTAAATCTCTACGCAGCAGATTGCAAAAGCATACCCTTACTTGTGACAACCAAAATGTCTCCAGACATTACCAAATGTCCTCTGGAGAGTAAAAATGTCCCCAGATTGGAGGTAGAAGGGGAGATGGGCACCCAAGGCAGAAAGGGCAGCATGAGCAAGGTTTGGAGGTGTACAAGTATACCTTAGGGAATGCCAGGGGTGGGGCATGCATTGCAATTCAGGGTCATATTACAAAAGGTCTTAAACACAACATTCAAGGGATGTGGAGCCATTGAAGGATTCCAAACCAAGGATTGAGAGGCTTAACCTTGGATTTCGAAACAATCCCTCTGGCAGCTGTATGGATGGTGAACTGGAGGGAGGCACAACTACTGACTGTTGGGTTTGGGGGGTGGGGAGTGTCACAACAACTTAAGTAAACTGGAAACCCAGAGGAGGGGAGAGCAAGAGGCAGAAGGAGTCTAGGCATGCCAAGATTTTATGGTGGATAAATTCTAATCCTTTCCAAGAATGTAAGGCAAATATAAAATGTCTGGTCCATGGTAAGTGATTAATAATATTAATTTCAGCCAGGTGCGGTGGCTCATGCCTGTAATCCCGGCACTTTGGGAGGCCGAGGTGGGTGAATCCTGAGGTCAGGAGTTTGAGGCCAGCTGGTCAACATGGTATAACCCCATCTCTACTAAAAATACAAAAAATTAGCCAGGCGTGGAGGTGAGCACTGTAATCCCAGCTACTTGGGAGGCTGAGGTTGAACCTGGGAGGCAGAGGCTGTAGTGATCTGAGATTGTGCCACTGCACTCCAGCCCAGGAGACAGAGTGAGACTCTGTCTCAATAATAATAATAATAATAATAAAAATAATAATAATGTCTTCTCCAGTTCTGTGCCATTGTTGACACTGTTCCCTGGGCTGGCTGTGTGCTGCCTCCTTTCCTCAGCCTGCTGAAATCTCCCTCTCCCTGAAGGCCTGTGACTTCCTGAGTGGAGCCTTCATGAGCCTTCCAGACAGGCTCCCTCCTCTGTTTGTCCAAAGCGCATTGGATAGGTGCTGCAATACACTTGCAATTCCAAGTGTCTGTTTTCTCTATTAGACAGTGAGCTCTTCAAGTGCAGTGACTTTACCTTGTTCATTTATTCCTTGAATCAGTGTTTATTGAATAGTTATTATATGCCAGGCACTGTGCCAGATACTGTGATACAGCTGTGAACAACTGTCTTTATCCTCAGAATCTACAGAGGGCATGGCACACTTAAATGCTCATAAATGTTTAGTGAATGAACAGATGGATGGATGGATGGATGGATGGATGGATGGATGGATGGATAGACAATAAAATTATCAATGTGGCTGAGACCTAGAGAGGTTTAGTGAGTTACCCATGACTGTCCAGGAAGTGGCAGAGGAGGAGCTGAAGCCCCAGACAGGTAAGGGACTAGCTCTTGGCACAATGGGGCTCCAGACTGGATGCTTTTCTAGAAGGTTTTCTGTGGTCTGACAGTAACCTCACCTGTTTGCAGCATGACAACCTGTCAGCTAGCGGTGTTCTTCCTCTTCCTCCAGTTGACTGAAGCTGCAGAGATTGTTTGTAGCGGATTTGGGTAGCTTGTCTCTCACGTAGATTGGTCCACTTATTGCCAGGCAAAAGCCCTGATTTGTCCCTGGGGGTCTAGCTTCCAACCGCCCCTCTCCATTCACATGCTGAGATAGGGCTCCATGCCCTAGGATTGGAGCCAGTGGCCCAGACCCAAGTCAACCAGCACCCCCGTTTCTGTGGACACAGTGCCACAGAGCTTGGTCAGAGGTAAGCATGTTACTTAAATGCCCCAAGGTAGTCCAATCAGGGTGAATCTTGAGACTTTTTGTGGGATTTCTGGGACAAGAGCACTTACACCCTTTTGCACTGAATTTAATGTGAAAGGCATGGGATTTTAATTTAGTGCCATCTTACAACCACCAGGAGAGGGCCTTTTTAAAATCAATGAAAAGGTAGAGAATGCAGTCAAGAGATGGAGACAGAGAAAATAACACAAGGCTGCAGTGTCCCTGTTTGAGCTCCTGGATCCAGCTGGGTCTGAAGCCTTCTTACCCTGGACATTTTAATCGTTTCCTCATGCCAGTTTGTTGAATTTTCTTCCTATAAAAAATTAGAAACAAGGTCTCACTATGTTACCCAGGCTGGTCTCAAACTCCTGGGCTTAAGTGATGCTTCTGCCTCTGCCTCCCAAAGTGCTGGGATTACAGGCGTGAGCCACTGCACTCAAATTTTTGACATTAACTCTTGAAGTCCTGAAGTGGGTGCTCAACCCGTGGCCGGGGAATCTTTTTGTTTTTTTTTTGAGACAGGGTCTCACTTTGTCGCCCAGGCTGGAGTGCAGTGGCCCAATCTCGGCTTGCTGCAATTTCTGCCTCCTGGGTTCAAGCAATTCTCGTGCCTCAGCCTCCCAAGTAACTGGGATTACAGGCGCCTGCCACCATGCCAGGCTAATTTTTTGTTTTTGGTAGAGGCTGGATTTTGCCATGTTGGCCAGGCTGGTCTCAAACTGCTGACCTCAAGTGATCCGCCAGCCGTGGCCTCCCCAGGTGCTGGAATTACAGGCATCAGCCACTGTGCCAGCCAGCGGGGGAATCTTTGTACTGGTTTAACCTCTGGTGGATGGGAGCAGGAATGCACTGGGGCAAAGCTTTCAACGAACTAGCCCCGTTGAAAGTAGCCCACTCCTGCCTCTGGCTGTCTTGCAAGTAGGGGATGATATAGCACCAGATTCTTTGAACAAAGGACAAACCAACACCTACTCTGGATTGATAAAGTGCATTTCCTAAACGGTATGGCCACCTGGCACCAGACATCACCCTTGAGCCCTCTCACAGCCTTTGGCCAAGATCAGTGCCGCTCACCCCTGGCAACGTCCTTCGCGGCCCTTTAGCGTCACCCGTGTTTTCAGTGTTCAACTCAACTTACTGGGATCTGAGTCTTCTTCCGTCTGTCTCTGGACATTCAGACACACCTCTTGGGAAATGTCCTTCCTCCAGACTGGAGCCAGCTCCGTAACACTCA